GGGAGGGTCATAGCGAAGGAGGCGGTCCCGAAGATAAGTTGGACCCAAGCCATGTAGGGCTTTAAAGGTCATAACCAACACCTTGTACTGTGCTCGGAAACTAATGGTCAGCCAATGGAGAGATTTCAGCACTGGTGTAATGTACTCTCTCCAAGATGTACAAGTAAGTGACCTGGCTGCCATATTTTGGACCAATTGAAGTTTCCGAGTTAAGCTCAAGGGTAGCCCCATGTAGAGCGTGTTACAGAAGTCTAGATGTGAGGTTACCAGAGCGTGTACCACAGTTTTGAGATCCCTACTTTCCAGGAAAGGGTGCAGCTGGCATATCAGCTGAAGCTGATAACAGGCACTCCTGACCGTCGCATTCACCTGATTAGTCATGTGAAGCGACGAATCTAGGAATACCCCCAGACTGCGAACACAGTCCTTGGAGGAGGGTGTGACTCCATCTAGGAAGTTCCCGGACTTGGTTTTGGGCCCATGACTATTAGTACTTCCGTTTTGTCTGGATTCAATCTCAATCTGTTTTTCCCCATCCAGTCCATAACCTCTTTAAGACAATCATTGAGAGGAGAGATGCCATCTGAAGTCTGAGCTGATGACCGGGTCATGGAGAGATATATCTGGGTGTCATCAGCATACTGAAGAGACTGTGTGCCATGCCTCCAAATGATCTCTCCCAGCGGCTTCATATAAATGTTAAATAGCATCGGGGACAGGATGGCACCCTGAGGGATGCCACAGTTAAGTTCTATTTTGGAAGAGCAACTGTCCCCGAGCCTCACCGTCTGGGATCTGCCCGAGAGGAAGGAACGGAACCACTGCAAAGCAGTACCTCCAATTCCTAACTCTCTCAGATGATCCAAGAGGATGGAATGGTCTATTGTGTCAAAGGCCACTGAGAGGTCCAAGAGCACCAACAGGGTCACACTACCCCTGTCGATATTCAAGTGGAGGTTGTCGGCCAGCGCAACCATGGCAGTCTCAACTCCATATCCTGTCCTAAAGCCAGTTTGAAATGGATCTAGATAATCCATTTCATCCAAGACAACTTGGAGATGGGAACCAACTGCCCTCTAGATGACCTTGCTTAAAAAAGGGAGCAAGGAGACCCGTCTATAGTTGTTCCTGTCCAGGGGCCCCAGGGAAGGCTTTTTCAGGAGTGGCTTGACCGCTGCTTCCTTTAAACAAGATGGAACGATGCCTTCCCTGAAAGATGCATTGATAGTATCCTGAGGGAATATCCTCAACGCGTTGCCCCCCTGGACAACCAGCCAAGATGGACATGGATCAAGAGTGCAGGTCAACTTCCTCACTCTACCAAGAAGCTTGTCCATGTCATCGGTACTCCCAGAATCTGTTGGTGCTGGGAGGAGGCAATTCCTCTATCTCCCTCTACCATCATCCAGCTGCAAGAGGAGAACTGCCCTTGACTCATTCTCTCCTTTTACTAAACAAGGCCTGTCATGCTGCTGAAGCCTAAACCAAACTTTTACTAAAGCTATAAGCCCCAGGAGTAAAAATTGCTTGGTGTTTATTATTGTTAAAAATTTGTTTTGCTGTAATTGCATGATTGCATCAGGCTGATGGCCTGACACAGCAGCACAATGGTGAAATTACAGCAAGAATTAAGGAAAAATGTATTGGGAAATGAAGTAAAAGCAACATTGTTCCTGTGCATCCTGACATCCTCTTTGTTTGGACAGTGGAAGTGGAGTGACTTTACGTTGCTTGGGGATGGGGAGGGGAAGAGCACAACCACAGCCATTCGCACGGCAGGACTGCTGGAATACCAGTGTTGATTTATGGTGAGAGTGTGCAGAGTGTGTGCAGGACTGCCATTCACCAGCTCCATACATCTCTGGATCTGTAGCTCCCTGCAGCTTGCAGCATTCCATGAAACCAGACCAGAGATCATTCTCTTCAAAAGAAGGTTCTTTATTCTTTAGTTGTAACTTAACATGATAACTATTTACACTGTAGAAAAGCCATAAGCAGGCAATAGCCAAAACAAGAACAGAAACAAGAAGAAAGGAAAACTCCATGCCAAGCCCAGCAATCCACTCAAGGCAATTACTCCACCCCCAGGTTGATAACTTTATAGACATTTGTTAAACAGCCTCTAAACCCAGCCTTCTTCCTGTGTCTTGTGTCATATGACCAGTGGTTGTCACACACTCTGCTGACCTAATCTATTTTCTTCTGGTATCCTGTGTTCCCAGACACACACTGACCTTGGATATGTTATTTTCATGTAATCCACCTGCAGGTTAAAACTTTCACAGCTAGAATTTTCCCACATCTGTACATTTCCACTCTGACTACAAAACCCAACAACTGGAACTACTTTTTTGATACTTATAAGTTCATTTTAGTCATGATCTTTTAATGATGCTTATTATAATTGCATTTTTTTTATTTTCATGGCATACATTGATTATTAGTTATTAGTATTGCTTGTGAACTACTTTACTAAAGATTGATATGCAAGTGTGAATGGGTTCCAGGAGCGAGAGCCCTCCCCAGGAGCTGAAGGCTTTTCTAAAAGATAATTCCCTGGACCACAAGTTTAGTTCCCCAAATTGACACCTTCTAAATTTTCATAGCAAAGAGAATTTGGCAATGTGAAAATGATCACCTGCCCAATTTGCATTTGAACAGGTGAATAATTTTCAAGGGGGGGGGGAATGTTACCATACCTGATTTAATATATAAACCCCTTTTTATGGGTCCCTGCCATAGCCCTGGACTGCCACCATGGATCACATCTGCACCTACAACAATTTGCAGATCAAAAGGGCTAGACTTAGGAACTGCAAAGCAGGACATTCACACCTAGGAGATTTATGAGTCCGGCTGAAAATATGATAACATTAACATCCCATCTCCTCTCCTTGGAAATTGTTTACTTCAAAGAGTAGTAATCTGGAATTCTTTGCTATATAATAGCAAGTATTCACCTCAGGCTAGGTTTAAGGGTATAAAAGATCCCCAAAATCTCAGGCACATTGGGTTTGGTTAGATTTCATGGTGACATTATGCCACTGTGAACTCTAACTTGGGCACTGGCTCTTTCCGTTGTCACTTCCCTTTCATAGTGGTTGAGTCTATCCATCTTAATTCACCATTGAAGCAGCCTCCTTCAGGTAATTATCACCATTAGAAAGTCTTGTGTGTCCTCTCCAAGCTAACTACTTTATTCCTGAGTGTATGAATGAATGGTAGAGTGTCTTTGTATGCTTGAATCTGCAAATGAAAATTACAGTTCATTGGAAAGCTTTATCTCTATCAGTCTATCCCCTAGCCACCTCTGTAAACATTGAAGTCCTATTGAAACTTGTACTTTAGTAATTCCCCAGGTTCAAACTCTTCTTACACTACTCACTTATAGCAGTTTGACAACTTTTACTTGTTACAGTTAGCAGACTTTGCATGCCTATACTCCTTAACTGCTAGTGTACATGTTTGCATACTTCCTGCTTCTTTGTTTTAACACACCTTCTCACTTCCTACAGCAGTGTAACCTTCAGCAATTATTTTCTCTTCAATAGATCTTACATTTGGGTATTAGATCAAGTATTTGTAAGTAAAGCTAATTTGATATATTTTACAAAGAAGACTGGGCTTTTTACTCTGTAGAAATGAGTGAGGGGTGTGACTGGTTATTGGGCAACTTCAATCTTGATTCTAATTTGGTTATTTTCCTTGAGAGATCCACTCTTTTTCACATTTCATAACATTAACAGACTGCAGGTTTGTACCATGGTGGTGCATTTAGAATTCTGTGCTATAGTTTGTTTTTTAGGAGTTTTAAGTACCCTTCATAAAACAACAAATCTTAGGAGTCCATAGAATAGAGCTATGAAACTTAGAGTGAGGTCAAATTTCTATAAATGTATAGTATAGCTATATTTTCTGTGTGTAGTAATGTGGAGCAGAGATTTTTATCCTATTTCTCAGCTGGCACCTTTATTTCTCAGATGTCAAGAGTACATGCACACACACACACATGCAGGCACACTGACACACACATAAACACACACAAACACACACTTGATTGTATGAAAGTGCCTTAAAGACAATTGAATTTAGGTCTTGACCATTTTTAAAAATCAGCAGAAAGCATTAGAATGAAAATCAGTGTTTGTCAGCCCGTGGGTTTTTATAGGATGTTACCAAATGACGATTATTATAATCATAAACATGTCTCCCATTCTGCTGATTTATCTCAGGGTTTGAAAGGCATTTTGATTGGTCTGTCATTCCATAAAACCATTCACATAAACCACTACTTGCATTACAAGCTATGTATTCATGTTTTATTGTCCACTGAAGAAATGTTTGTGTTATTGACCAGAATGATAAATGGTCTCTATCATGCTCTCTCTGAGGAAACGGTACATAAGAGCTAGCATTAACTAATTATTTGAAGAACATAAAAGGGTAAATACTAACCTTTCATTGCAATGCTTAAGGGAAGATTATGTTACATTTACAAGTTCCTGAAAGTGTTGTCGTGGCTCAGAAAAACATGTACACTAACTATAATGGTTCTCTGGCCTTTTGGTTTCATTGTTTATTATTCTCAGAGAAGCTGAAACATTTAACAGCTGCTGATCCTATAACAGACACTCATTACAGGGGTAGGCAGAAATGAATCATCTGCTACATATTACCAAAAGGGCAAAAGGTATTGTTTTTATATTTGCTACATACATGTCAACACAATCTCAAAAATCTCAATATTTTTATGACTGAGCATAAGGATCGAATCTGTTTGTATTTTTATCTTTGTTTTTCCTGTCAGTCATCTCCATATAATGGTAACTGATACCCAGAGACTGGAACATTTCAATTTTAGATGGGCCAGCTGGCTGGTTGCTGTAGAATAAACAAAACAAAACAACTTTTTCAAGTTCTCTAGAGATCCTATGGAAGAAGAGAGGAATGGGAGCCCCACCAGGTTGGAACTACACCTTAATACAGTAGGCAACCTGGGGGACCCAGTATGGCACAGTGATTTGAGTGTTGGACTACAACTCTGGAGACCAGGGTTCAATTCCCTACATGGCCATGGAACCAATTGTGTGACCTTGGACAAGTCACATGCTTTCAGCCTCAGGTGAAGGCAATGGCAAGCCTCCTCTGACTAATCTTGCCAAGAAAACTTCATGATGGGGTCACTTTAGGGTCACCAAAGTTGGAAATAACTTGAAGTCACACAACAGGCCACCTGGAGCCCTCCAGATATTTTAGACTACACCTCCTTTCACATCTGGAGGGCAACAGACTAGGGCAAGGTCTGAAGTGATTGCCTTATCCTATGAGCATAGATTTCCCCTGTTGTTTAGAATCCTAATTAGAAAAAGTTCCAAATCTAGGCATCTAAAACATACTTATCACTTCATACCTTTTTCCACCTTGTGTATGAATGGTGGGGATCATGTGGCAAAGGTCTGGTCAAGGGTTTGGACATGACTGTACCTCTTTCATACACATGGAAGAATACAACTTGGAGGAGAGCACCTGATAGATACTCTTCTTAATGGCAGATCTTATTTGTAAACAAATTGTATTATACTAACTTATGTGTCCTTTGCAGGAAAAAAAAGCCTCAGAAGCAAAGATGTCCTTATGTAACTAACAATCACCTCTTCAGTTATTTATAAAAGGGTTGTTGTTTGTATTTCAATCTGCTTTCTCCCTGAAAATTCAGGCTGAAGAACAGTAAAGAACCTAAAGTCAAAGCACGAAAAGAGGGGCTGTATTGGTTAGAAAGCTAACAAAAGTGCAATTAAGACATTTGAAGTAGACTCAGCTCTCAGAGAGCTGAGTCTGCTCAGAACTGACAGTCATGGACTCCATGAACTCCCAAGCTGCACCTGTTAGATTTGACACACTGGTCTCAAGTGAGATGTTGAAGTTGCCCAAGACTAAAAGTCTAGGCGATTCCAACAGCAACTCTGAGACCAGCTGTGTCAGCTTGGTTAGGGAGTCTGTTAGGCAACGGGTTGGACAGTATACTAGCAGAATCCCCAAACTATCCTTGGTTCTCAGGCTCAGGTACATGCATTCTAAGTGGACTGTTTTCCAGGCAGGTATCCTGACCAAGGTAAGATTATTCTTATGAACCAGAGCCACTCCACCCCCTCACCCACTTTCCCTTATCTGCTCACTGATAGAATACTCGTCTGGGAGGGCCTGTGCCCAAGTTATAGCACTGCCTTCTCCCAGCCAAGTCTCTGTAAAGCAAGCCAGGTTGGCATCTTCATCTAGAAGAATATCATAAATGATCTGAGTTTTGTTTTTGACTGACCTGGCATTGCAAAGGAGCAAGGTAGGGTTCTGTGGAATGGTTGGTGCGCTCTCCAATCCATTCCGGGAAACAGAGTGAATTGAAGGTGGGATAGCTTTCGCACATCGATCCCACCTTCCTTTGTAACAAGCTTTTATTCTGTTCCTGCCATACCTTCTTTTCCCCTGCACAACCTAGGTTTTCACCTCCAGATCACAACTGGCCACACATGCCTGTCCCTTATTCACAGAGTCCTTCAAGTTCCCTCAAATTACTGGTGGGCAGCAAAGCCTCCGAACCAGTTATTTATGACTAGCCCAGAGGTTCCTGGGCTGCCTCCACATCCTCTAGTTGGCTAGCTGGCTGGTGGTGTTCCGAGGGGTGGGGGAATGACTATTTAAAGACAGCCTTTAGTCCCAGTGGAATGGGGGGAAAGGAGGCTGCTGTGGTGTCCTTTGAGTCCTCTGGCTGGCTGGCTGGTGGTGTTCCTGGGCGTGGGTAATGGGCGGTGGGGGAGTGACTATTTAAAGACAGCCACTCCTGGCCATGCTCCCCCTCTCTTCTGCCTTGCACAGCTGTCTTTAGCCCTGGTGGAATGGAGGGAAAGGAGGCTGCTGTTGTGTCTTCTGCATCCTTCGGCTGGCTGGCGGTGTTCCTGGGGTGGGTGTGGGAGTGACTATTTAAAGACAGCCACTCCTGGCCACACCCTCTCTCTCTC